CCGATCCAAAGCCAGAGCCTGCACCAGCACGGCACCAGCGCCGGCAAAACAAAACGCCGACCCAGCACCAGCACCAGCGCAGCAGCAGCCTGCACCTGCACCAACATCTGCACGACAGCATCACCTGCAAAACCAAAACACCGATCCAAAGCCAGCGCCTGCACCTGCACCGGCATCAGCACGGGAGCAGCACCCGCAAAACCAAAACGCCGATCCAGAGCCACACCATTGAGAAGTTAGAACCCCTATAGCCTGCAGCTATCTGCGAATTAAAATCAATGGGACTGGCATCATATGTATCATTGCAGAAATCATCGTCAGGCCTTCCCACGCCCATTCAGATTCTTGCAATGGACACTGCTTGGCCATTTGGAATTGATTGCGTGCTGAGCAATCCTGCTGAAAGGTTCAACAAGCAAACACTGGCACACGCTGATAATCCATGGCTGGGCAATCGCTTAGTCAGCACACAAAACAATCTGCAACACCACTTCCTTTCCATCATCGCGTTGGCCCTGCATCGGCGTCGGCACGCAAGCAAATCTCCTGAAAAAAATCGCTAGCACGGACCCCAGATAGCAAACGATATCTGGGGTGCAGGGCAGCATGACACCAGCACCCACACTCCAAATCGATCACTGCCATAAATTAACATTTGGCAGCCTGGAGCAACACCAACACGCAGGCTCCAAAGCTCACCTCTGGCACCCTCCAGCAGCACCAGCACGGCCACACAACTGGCAGCGGCACCCTCCAGCAGCACCAGCAATCAGGCTTTAAAGCGTACACAGGCACCTCTTCCTGTTATACTTGAAGTAGGAACTCTCGCTATCTGAAGAATTAATATGAAGAAAATGATCAAGTCCAAATGAGAGGAAGGAAGATGAGACGAGATGAGATTATTGTGAAACTGAACACGAGAGATGAGAAGAGAGTCTTCCTCAACAAGCAAACCCTCGGCCCTTCGCTCAGTCCCCAGAACGCACTGACCAGCCTTCTGCTGAAAGGGCTTCATACGAGTCTGTGACACTGATGATGCGTTTGGTCCAGCACTAATTTCCCGGAGGGCAGCCCACACCATATCGAATTGCTGTTGCAGTATCGCCCGTTCACAGATCTTAGGATAGATGACCCAAACACGCCCACATTGGCAAGCAGCAAACTGGCATTATTTATCACAATCCGAGTGCCCAGAACCACCTGGAGCGATCGACCTGTCAATATACAAGTGGGTGGGTACTGACAGAACAAGAGCAACACGAAGACATCACCAATACTTAGTCGTCGTTCTTTGTTGCAATGTGACCGTGTTGCCTTGGCTAGTTGGCCCCACTGGGACACAGCGTAAGCTGCCTGACAGTGTGCGAAGCCCCCAAGTTTTACGGGCTGGCCACTAGGCTGGCCTTCAGCCCAAACGTCTCATGATGCCTGTATGGAGCGCCCCAAAAAGGAAATGCTTCAAATGAATCTGTCGGCATGGATCGAAACTGCCAAACACCCGTCAAATCCACAAAGTCTCAGTTTGCCACGGGACACTCAAATCTAGTGTTTTGCTGGCACCCAAATACGTCAGCATGGTGCGGGCCTGGCAAGTCAAGACAAAAGCTACCAGACGATAAATAATTGAGTCTTGATGAATTGAAATCGCGCCGTCCTTGTTCGCTAAGAAGCAGCAACAAGCGCCTCTGCTTAATTTGCCACTTGATGACAACTAGCTTCTCAAGACTGAGTTCCGTACCAGTGCCCTCCAACTCAGCAGGCCTCCACTGACGTTGCAGTCAAAAGCCTTTGAGAAGGCTTCCTTGAAACACTCCCCCTCACGCAAAGCCTTCGAGAACTTGAATTGGCCTGGCTTCTTCGAAGAATGGCTCGACTCCTGCAGCCACAAGCTCTTCGCGGAGCCTGGTCAAAGCCATCAGCACAATCAACATGATGCGGCAAACGCTGCAAGTCACCTTTTACTAAAAATAAATACAAGCAATGCGACCTGAAGTGTTGTGCACGGATCAATCAAGCATGCAGCTGATGTTTCACAGTTGCAAGCTCTCAAACCCAATCAGCTCAAGGGATTCGATGCCTTTTGCCGGCAGAGTCAGGACCAACTCTTCCTCACCAAGACTGTTATGCGGCTGAACTGCACCTATATTTCTACAAACACATGAGCGTGCGTATTCATTCTGGATAAGTTCCAGGCCCAGCATGATGTTTCTTGGAGCATATGCACAGCCTTGCTTCTTGGTCCTCGGCTTCTGACTTCTCAGCCATTTCGCAATGCCCTGACTTTTAGGCAACAAGAAACCACACTCTAATTGAAGTCGCGGATCAATGTAAGGATATAAGGATATAATGATTGAATCTTCTTGTGTGGAGCGCATATACAAGAGTTTCTTGAAGGCTTTTGCTCTCAGAGCAGAACCACCAGCTACCGGCACGAAGGCTATTGGCAATGACACCTCCACAAGTCGCCCTTGCCTGGTGAAAAATTCCGGCTGGCTCACAGGCGGTTCTTTGGGGATGAGCAGAAAGACTGTGACTCACGTCTTGAGGAAAAGGTTCCAATCTCAGTAGAGGCCAAACTGAATGACCCCGCTCACTTTTCGCAGTCTCAGAAGGGATACAAACAATGGTGTGGGGAGACGTTTCCAGCAAACAGGATGAGGATGAACTGGAGGCTCTCAAGTAGAAGCCTGGAAGCATCAGTGGGTCTGCCTTGAGGATTTCAGATGGCACTTCATGCGAGACAGGCAAACAATTTTAATATGCACGGTGCAAAGCTAGAGCGATCGAACATATATGATCCCTGCAGCGGCTTGCAATTGCGCCCCGCCCCCTCATGAGAGAGACGGTCAGCGTTAAGATCGAAAACTACAACGTTGGGTTCGAACACTTGGGTTTGGAAACTGGGAAAGTTGTCTTCAGAAACTAGAAGCGTGGGGTTCAGAAACTGGAAACATGGGTTGCGGAAACTCGAACGTTGGGTTGGAAAACTCGCCACGTGCTCTTCATACCATGTTAAGCACCAGCATGAATCTCACATTAATGCCTTCCCAACCGCCCCCCACCCCAGCAAAAAATAGTTGAACCCGCCACAACACAACACCACACAAACTTGCGGACACGTCCACGTCACGCCCCTAACAGCCCTTCCGCTTCGTGGGGTACTCTAGAGTGAATAGCTGAACCCGCCAAAAGTAGTTTCTGAGCCCGACCAAACCTTTACTGAACCCGACAAAACCAGCGTCTGAACCCTAGTTTCTCAGCCCAAGAAGTTTCTGAACTTAACTTAGTTTCAGGAGGGAGGGAGGGAGGGAGGGAGGGAGGCAGGGAGGTAGGGAGAGAGAGAGAGAGAGAGAAGCGAGAGCGCTCAAGTGCTAACGCGGTAAAGGGCTAATGCATCTCGGACTGCGGTAAAGGGCTAGTTTCACTTCCTGTATTCCTCAGCCTTACGCTCTTGCCAGGGATTGCGCCATGCAAGTCTGGCACCAACGAAGGTGCTTTGCGTCCTTGGTTTGACATATGCATTATGAACGGAATCAACGTACCTGCCTTGCAGCTTGTTACAGTGACAACTTCCAATTTCCTCCTCGGGTTTGCAGTACAGCGCTAGTGGGAGTTTCGATTTTAAGCGGTTGAATGCTCGCTACGGAAACTACCCATTCCATGCAGGACACAACCCTGTGACCTTAAGAAACCTTGCAAGTGGGACCACCCGGGACCACTATGCTGTTCCTATCTACCTATATGTATATATATATATATATGTATATATGTTGTTGCAGAGCAGGGAGCACCTTGGGCAGAGAAGGTCAGGTGCAAACGAAGACACCTTCCTTTGCCTGTTGTATGTACTCCCAAGACGGAGTACTCATGCCTGCGTGAGGTGTACTGCTCCTTCCAGCCAAGATTCAAACCTTGAAACCTTGCAGATAATAGAACCCCGAAAAAGACTACACAGTGCGCACGTGCGCACGCTGATCTATTCCTTTTACTTCGTCTCTGTCGAGCCAGCGCCCCGAAAAGGCATCCAGTCTCTCTCTTTCTCATTGGTGCAAGTAAACTGCAAACGTCAAGACTAGCCAGGGAAGTCCACGACTTAGCTCGTGTCGTGTACGACTCGTCTGATGTTTAACCCAATGTAAAATTAGGTTGGTTTCGGCAGCTAGCAAAAATGCGGCACAGGCCTTTCCAGTCTCAATTTTGGCAAGCGATTCCTTGACAAGAGGAAGATGTTTTTCCTGGCTGCCAACTCCCACCTTTCCCCAACTTCAAATGACTGAACAAGTCACCTGCCGAGCCTCTGCAACAGACTGCGAATTTTGCTTGATCTGAGCGTCATGAGTGTCATGTCTTGATTGACTGATTGACCAATTTCAATTGTGGTTTCTCTCAGGACTCCCTTCCGCCTGATGCCTTTCTAGCAAGCCGGGATCGTCGTCCACTGGGACCAAAACATCCTCGCTTTCACACCGACGCATGCAAAAAAAAGAACAACAAGTACACGAAGCAAATGTCCAGCAGCACTTGGTCAACACCAATGAGCATTTCCTGGTTTGAAGCGCAACAAACAATGGGACTGGCATCACTCATTGCTTGCTACTTCAGGCTTCAAGCAAAGCCATAGCTTTCGCCCAGTGACTCTTTGCACTTGCAAGGAACATAGGCTGCAAGGGGACGGCTTAATGGAATGAAAAGATTGGTGCTAACTCTCTGCACTTCCTATGTAAGCCCACCACCGACACCATACAAAAACAACAGAACAAAAAGCATAGTTCATGCGCTTGCCAAATGTCTGCGAAGCGTGAAGACTAGGCAAAAGGCCAAACACAAAGACAATATATAGTGTAAGTTTTCAGGCAAGCGGGCATCATTTAGGGATTGAAACTTTGCCTTATTATCATCTTGGATTGGTCCTGATTTCTCCGCAGCTTAAGCCAAAGGAGTGCTCTGCATTTTGTGGTTTCTTCAGTGCTTGCAATTCATTCATGCGTTCTCCTCGGAGCCTTGGCAATTTCTGGAGTAGCAAAGGCTACAATGGCCCAGCCAGGACCCTCTGGGTCTGCAGGTCTGAAACTCACCTGAAGGTGCAACGGAAGAAAAGGATAGACACATAGACACACGTAACCAACAATGATGTGGTCTCTCCGAGTCTCTCCATCTTGCTTGTCTCATAAATCTGATGTCAAATAGTCAAGTTGTTGGTGTTAGTGCAGCTCAAAAGGTTTGCCTGCAAAATTTCATCCGGCCGGCCAGCTGCAGAAGATATCTGGCCATGGAGCAGCACTCAGACTGAAAAAGTCTCTCTGTGTCTATGAGATTCAAGATATACTATATATATATATATACACACACTGTTTCTTTCCTCATTGTAGCATTGTTTTTCATTTCTGGCTATTGTCTTTGCACGATTTTGCAATGGTCCCGAAAAGAAAAGGCGCTTGGATAGAGGGAATTTGGCTTTAACTCTGGTATCACTCATTTGTTTGTACGCCGTTTGCTGGTTGTATCTCGTCACATCTCACTCAGGTACTAAAAGCAATGCATCAAAGGCAACAAAAAATGGCAACGGTTCTAGATTAGAGAGTATACAGTATACAGTATCAGAAGAAGAATCACTCTCGTGTCAAGCCATCAGATGTGCAGTGCACGTGCCTGCTGCTCCGTTGCACCCTGTGGTATCTTTGACAGAATCACCTCCGAAATGAAGTGCACTGCACAGTGAGAATCAGGTCTGCTGATGGCTGCTGGCTCACCACATTTGTCAATCCGGGAGCAGGTCCGCCAACAGGCCCCATGGCCTGCAATGCAAACAAAAAGCCTGGTGACGTCAGCACCGAGCCTGAATGTGCCTTCAAGCCGCCCCTTCCTATGTCTTCATGTTGCTTCCAGCCAAAACAAGTGGACAAGCTGCGGATCAAGTCTTGGCCAAATATACTGGAGGGGAGCAGTCAACATCAGTCCTCTTCGAAGCAAATTGAGCTGCCAACAAATACTGATCTAGCAGGTTTGATCCGCAGTTGTGATTTAGACTACATAGCCACGAGCTGACATGCCCCGAACTGCAGGTGGCATCTAATTGAAATTCAAACTTGCTCAAACACGAAAGGCCGCTGAACCGAAAGCCAAACAACTTGTTGTACACCGGTTATTGCAGCAAAAGTAACACCGTGAAGTCAAGCCACACATCGCCAATCTCACACGGCAGGTCTTCTATTGAGCGAATGCATCAAACACAAACATGCAAGCACAACGGACTTGTTACGGACTTGTTCAGGATTTGCTGACCACTCACCCTTCGCAGCTTGGAATGAGACGGGAATTTAAAATAGAGAAACTAATCATTTGCGGTAGAGCAGTCAATGAACAGCAGGCCTAAAACTCAGCCAATGCGACATGCATCAAATTGTTGGTGCCCGTTCCTCTACAGAGATTTCCTTGTTGCACGTCCACGTTTCACTGGTCGTGTTCAAGGATCAACCTTTTACAAGATTCCATGTATTTGCAGAGTCCTGCTTACAAATAGAGGTTCAAAGCCTCGAAAAACATGTTTGGCAGCAATATCGTAAACATAGGATGCAGGTGCTTAAGACTCCGTTCCAAAAGGAATTTCTCTACCAACACAACTGGAACATTGGGGACAATGGCAGCAAAAACACTGATAAATGTTCGTTTTCAAATCACTACCTTGGAAATAGCAGTGCCAACGGTTTCCGTGGCACCAATTCAATTCTGTTGGTTAGCGGCTGGAAAGTTGCACTTCTCCAGGCAAAGAATGCGTGCAGGAGCTCTGGATCAACACAGTTGTTGTGAGAAGTGTCACTTGGACGCTGGACATTGCAGGCACTGCGTCACTTTTGCTAATGCTATCAAAGGCCTTCCGTCTCATTGACATCTGCCCTTAAACTCTTTGGACTTCCAAATTGGATTGCAGTCATGGGTCTCAGCATTGAATTGAATTCATCTCCGCTGGAATTTTTACTTCAGCACAATTCACAAAACTAGCCAACGTATGCAAAGCACGAAGCCATGTGTGTATATACATATACATAAATAAATACAGTATATATATACACTGTGAAACATGTCATGTCCAGATCGTCGACATGTCCATTCAACCTCGGAGGATCGTGTTCCTCTCGCCATAGAGGCTCGAGGCGGGTTGGGATCGGGAGCCTGTGTCTTGGAGGAAAGGACATGAGCCATAGCGGCGAGGCGGCTGCTGGCGGACCTTGGGAAGGTTCTGGAAGGGTTGCGGTTCCTTTGACAAGGTCATTGGTTGATACACGTCGTACTGAAGCAGGGCTTCTTTCTTGGAACGGTGTTCCTTTCTTGGTGAGGGCCCGCTACCAATTTCACATTGGTAGCGGAGCCTAGTGCTCCTATAAGAGTGGGGTCCAGGGCTACATTGCACTTCAACTCCGTTGTGTGGACTTGCTTGCGAACGGACATTTCCGGACACGTCTTGATCTTGCATCGCCCGAAACACCGGACACGACGCGCAGCGTTTTTTGTGTGAAGATCATAGCGAGGTACAGATAGGTAGCTTGACATGATTTGACTTTTGCATGTATCCGCACCGCAGCTTGTCACAAGCGATTTGCTTCGGAAACACCGCGTGTTTTCTTTGCGCTTTTGCCCCGCGTTTTGTTCTGGCTTACGCTACCCTGCGCACTCCGCATTGGTAGCGGAGCTCCTGATCTTCGATCGGGGGCTGATGGCCGAGCATGCAGGCTCGGGGGCGGCAGCCCATGAGTGGGAAGATGCTTCTTCCCAGACCCAGGCTGCGCCTGGAGAGGGGTCGCCCGCGGCGACCCCTAGGAGGATGTCAGCGGCATCCGATGGTGCAGTTCATGGAACGCCACAAGACACACCTGGATCAGCACAGTCAGCTCCGGCGGCGCCCGCAAGACGCATGGGTGGCAAAGGTGAGGGTTGGACACCTTCGATGCCACCTCCGCAGATGCCTGTTCCTCCAGCGTACACCCAACCGTACCCGGCCATGTCACAGCTGCGATGGGAACAGGATGTCTATGGGCACTGGTGGTACAGCGATGGACAACATTGGCGGTATGGCCATGGAGGTTCACATCGCTTCACTGCACCACCAGCTGGAACCATCCCCACGGCAACATCGAGCATTGGTGCTTCTTGGCAGTTCGTCAACCCTGATACTGTGAGGCATCCCTCCGGGTCGAAGCCATCACGGGAACCAGCACATCCCAAGAAGCCATCCAAGCCGGAGTCACAGAAGAAGTCTCCGAATAAGAAGAAGCCTCCGGCGAAAGAGAAGAAGAAAGCACCTCCTCCTCCACCAGAGGAAGATGAAGATGATGATGACGACGATGATGGTAGTGAAGGTGGAAGCAGTTCATCCTATGAGGAAGTGGAGTGTGAGGAGAGTGAGGAAGAGGATGGAGAGTTCACAGATGATCCAAGTGTGGCAGCGACCCCAAGAGGAACTCCAAGAGCTGCACAGACGCCGAAGGCCGCTGCCAAGGCGAAGCAAGCAGCAAAACCTGCTGCAAAGCCGAGACCGGCGGCGCCGGCAAAAGCAAAAGCTGGGAAGGCTCGCCCAGCAGATCCTCCGAAGGATCCACAACCGCCGAAGGCCTTTCATCGGGCGGCCAAGGTTGTGAAGAAGAAGCCCAAGGTCGAGAAGGACCAAGATCCGCCTTCTGCACCGCCCTCAGGTCCCCCATCCCATGGAGGTTCGGCAGCGCCGTCGGATATCAGTACTGTGCGTACTGAATCCATCAAGGAACTGCTGAAGGGCAGGCCAGGCAGTTCAGGTGAGCGCAACCGCACCAACCTTGGGCAGGTCAAGCTCGAGGTCTTCAAGGGCGACAGGGCCCATTACCGGAACTGGATCAAGACGATTCAGGCACAACGGCAGCTATACCAACTGCAGGATGAAGAACTGGCCGTTCTGATGTTCCTCAGCTGCGAGGGCGAAGCTCGTGAAGTACTGAATCAACTTGAGATTAAAGACATGAGGTCAGCAGGAGGCCTCAATCGAGTACTTCGCCTTCTCGAGGACGCCTATGGTGCAAAGGCTGATGAACGCTTCGAAGAGAAGCAGTCAGAGTTCATGTCATACAGGCGCCTCAGCGGCCTATCTGGCCACTTTGAAGAGGTTGAGAACAGAATACCTCAAAGAAGACCCTGGCTCAGTGATCTCAGACAGGGCGTTCGCCCAGAGGATGCTGTCTCGAGCCGCGCTCACTCGCAGAGAACGATATGATGTGTTCTTTGCGGCCGGAGGTGCGTACAAGTCTGCTGACATTGAACGAGTGCTTCGCTTCAGGTGCAGTCAACTTCACTTGGATGAGCGCAAGCCCACAGCTCATCGAGAAGACCGCACAGCACCAATCCGCAGGCCGCCGCCTCGGAAGGCGTTCAAACGAACAGACCGCAGGGGTCCTTACAAGCCGACCCGCCATACACACTGGGCGGACGCAGAGGACGACTGGGAGTACGATGATGAGGAGGACTCCTTCGGAGACCCAGACAATGAGGATCTGGAGCCCTCATGGCAGAAGAAGACATGCCGGAAGAAGAGGCATATGAAGATGATGAGGGCTACTACGATGATGATGACGAGGACCTGGACACGGTGGATCGAGGTGCCCTCCAAGAAGCTTTCTCCGCCGGCTGGTCAGCCAAGTCCAAGACGGCCCAACAACGCAAAGGCCGTGGCTACAAGGGAGATGGCAAACCAAAAGGTAAAGGAAAGGGCAAAAGCAAGCGACCACCAGATACCAGGACCCCCGATGCCAGGAAGAAGAACTCCACCTGTGCCAGCTGTGGCCAACGAGGCCATTGGAAGGGTGATGAGGTATGCCCAAATGTCCGCTCAGGTAAAGATGCAGTTCACCAGAAGCGGGACAATGAGGCCCATTTCAATACGGGCACTCACAAGGGGCAGCGTCATCCCTCAGCAGGACCCGCCAGGCCAGTGAAGTCTGAACCACCGCCTGAGCGAGAGCCACTTCGCAGGAGGCCGCAGCCCCTGCCAGACCGGCGGCGACCGGCAGAACCATCGTACCCACCTCCGGAAAGGGAGCGAACGGGTACCAAGCGCCGCAGCGACAGGGGTTATTATGATGACTATGATGATGAGGCGCCGAAGATCCCTGAGCCGGGTACAAAAGGCTTAGCCAAGATCAAAGCTCGACGACCAGGCGAAGAAGAGTATCTAGTCTTTGATAGCATCCAAGATGCCATTGACAGTACAAGAACGTCACCGCCTCCATCTCCGTTGATGAAGCCTCAGAACGTGAAGAAGAGGACCTGGCCTACCACCTCAAGCTGTCGGAGAGTTCGCAAGCCTCCCAATCCAAGCAAGCAAAGGAGAAGGTCAAGGTGAAGCTTCTCACGGTGCTACGCTCACTGCTGGAGGATGAGAAAGATGAAGAGACCATCCAGCGGCTCCGTAAGAAGGAGAAGCGCCTTGCAGAGCGTGCCACAGGCAGGGGTACCGGTGCAACATCGAGCACAGAAGCTCGTCCAAAGGCCAAGCCCAAGCACAAGAAGCCAGAACGCTTGGAGGAGGATGTTGGCCTGAGCACCGAGGACCTGGTGAAGCTGCTCCCCAAGATGTCCAAAGAGGAGAAGAAGATCCTCTACAAGCAGCTGAAGAAGGACCAGGGACGCGAGATCCTCGAGATCTTTGGCCGCTCGACAACCCCGGAGCGGTCCATGCTGAAGCGCCCTGAGCAGCGCAAGGGTGGCTATGGCTACTCCACGCCTGATCGACGTGGCAAGGATCAGGTTCAAGAGCCGCCAGAGAAGCAGGAGA